CTGCCAATGTGCATGTTATTTTTCCTACCAGTTCTCTTTGGGTGTCTGCTTAAAAGGACATTTTACCTCCCCACTTTATTAACAATGTGATATACCAATTTGGATGTAGTTGCAGAGCCAAGTACATAGGTAAAACCACCTTATGGTTAGACGCACAAATAAATCAACATGTACCCAGAAAAATTAGGAATGGTACCTTTGAATCTGGTAACAGGATCAACAACACATACAGCTCCATCACTGAGCACCTTATAAATAATCCAAGCTGTGCCACCAATTTCAACATGGACTCTTTCTCCATTCTTACTCATGCTCATTATTTATTACATTTGAAGGCACTGGAAATGATCTGTCAGGTCCAGACAGCCCCCCCACTCTCTGTAAACAGAGGGAATGTCTGTTAGGGCTTGACATTATTTCCTTCTGATTGTTCTGCCCTTATTTCATTACATGCTTATGTTTTATATTGTAATACTTAACTTTCCCTCAATTTCAGCTCTGTTGAGTAAGGCCAAAACCAGTCGGATGGTTGAATTTTTTCTTTTTATAATCATGAAATATATATATATATATATATTGGGTAAGACAATAAAGTACATCTGACAGCAAGGCCTCTGATCAGGAGGTTTGGAAGAGAATGGAACCACTTCTTAATTGCTGCTTTTCGCAGGTCTAGCCTGACCCAGGATGGTAGTACACACACACACGCGCACGCACACGCACACACACATATATATATATATATATATATATATATATATATATATATATAGAGAGAGATAGATAGATTTAAGTAACAAAAATCTTGGTAATCCGTATGGATAATCCCAAGGAGGATGAAATCCTGAGAGCTCAATGTTAATTCAGAGCGAATAATTTAATTTAAAGAAAAACACACCACTTTAAGGCTTCATTGTAATAATTTATTTCACCAGAGAATTTTATTTTTCTCTGGATCTTTAGACTTCACTTTCAAAAGGTGAAACGAAAAATGAATTTAAAATTTACACTTTTGACGGGCAGTATTAAGCTTATATAAGTTAACATAAAGGGTGGTGAGGGATGGCATGAGAGACATGGTCGAGTTTAGAGAGGGAAGGGAGAGTTTTAAAATTTATTTTTATATTTCTTTTTATTATAATACTTAATGTTGAGGAAGCGAGGGGGTAAGGATCAGACACTGACTTATTTAATCGGTCAACGGAAATGATAAGGGAAAAGGAAAAAAGGGGAAGTAAAGAGATAAGAGATGTACGTAGGGTTTTTGGAGGAAGAAGAGGGGTGGTATAGCTTTAGCAATTTAGATAAAAACAGATTTTAACATTTGATAGTAATTTAAATAAATGTTTAAAAACTCCACAAAGAAAATAAATTTAATGCTTGTTAGCAATTTAAATATTCAACTTTTCCACAAATAAATTAGGGATTTAAATAATAATAATAATAAATATATTAATAAACAACAATAATAAAAAAAATAAAAATTTACTTTTGTAGATTTTTTCTGCTTCCTTATCAATGGATACCTTATAGACTACAAGGCAGTGTCTAAAGTAATGACCTTCAGAGTTCATCAGGCTGTCCTTAAAGTTGAAATGACCAACAGAGGGCATGAAATTATCTTGCTCTTATTTTTAAAGTGCTAGTCATTGAAAATATATTACCTCAATCTGATAAAAAAGTAAACTTATAAAACATGTCTGAAATGTTAAATAATTACAGTAAATAAAATGATTTTGTAGATTTTGTTAACTGCTGCCATGTTTATATTGTTCAGATTTCTTCAGGTCAACTTGTCTTTACAGGAAGTTTCTAACACTTTTGCCCCAGCCCCTCAACATCCGACGTCTTACTCTATAGGTTGAGGTGTCTACTCGGTCCTAACCAAACTTAAGGGAGTGGCTGTAGGTCCCCTGAGCATCCATAGATTATTCGACCAGTCCACTGGTTTAATCCTGCTTCCTGCCCACATTGTGTTTGGTTTGATCCAGAAAGCAGGAGTGATGTTCATCCATTCATGGTCAACTGAAGGTGTAGACACAGCTGGAGAGTCTGTGCTAAGAAATTTAGGATGCAGCAAAAAAAAAAATTAATATCTACAGAAAGCCGGACAAACAACTATTCAATGATTGAATTGTTAATGTCTTTTATATAGCAAAAAAGAATAGTATAGAAAAGAAATGGGTTACAGAAAAGAAAAGTAATTGACATAAAAACGCATACACTGGATTCTGGACAGAGAGAGAGTGTGTTATGATTAACTTGTTGTTAAATCGTCTCAGAATGATATACAACTCTTGCAATGGGGGAATAAGATTTCTGTGCGCGACTTAGTTTATAGTTGCATTCCTTAGCAGTAGTAATATTTGTGGTAGCAGAATCTGCGGTACTTATATCAACAGTACATGTTAGCGGACGCTTCATTCCAATCTCTGATGTCACGTTCTCTCATTCTTGAGTCTCCAACTCATCTCTCCACTGTCTCTAGCCCAACTCTTGCCCAGGCTTATTCTCTTCCATCTGCCTCCTCTTCAGCATAACTATGCATTTATATAGAAAAATCCGGCTGGTTATAGCTGAACCTTGGCCCTACTACTTTGTACGGGATTATCACAAGGTTTTGGCTGTTTCAACCAAAATTATGTGAATTCAAAAGGTCCTCCTTGCTTACTCAGCTCTATTCCAAGTTTTAATCAATAAAAATTATTTTGACCATTTCCATTGTCTGCTAATGACCCAGTTCCAATGGGTATAGCTCCTGCCCTTTATTGTGTTTCACCATCAGTAAACAAAAATGCTCTGATCTAATTTTGCTGTTCAAATCCACTCCAATTTCACTAAAAATTTCACTGTGTGTGTGTGTGTTCACTGTGTGTGAACACACACAATTTCACTGTGTGTGTGTGAACACACACAATTTCACTGTGTGTGTGTGTTTCCCAGACTCTCTCTGTCACAGTTGCATTGCAACCATTTGTAAAAATATTTACCAATTTTTAATATCTTGCTTTTCTTTAAGTTTTTGTTGTTGCTTAATTCATAAAAACTTTGTTCTTTGTAATATATAGTGAACCAATCTTGTAAACTAAAATAATTATTAATATAGTTTTTAGGTACCTAACAAACTCTCAAAAATAGCTTCTAAAAACTAATTTTCTACCCATTACTTTACAGTAGATCTTCTGTATGTTTTATACATTTCTTATTTTGGAACTAGTACAAATTAAAGATCATCAACCATAGATAGTAAAATAGGGGGTATAGTAAGTGGAAAATTGATTGGTAAGGAAGAGAATTGGAAATCATCTTTATATATAAATATGGAATCACCTGACATGCATATTGCTGAGAATAAAATTGTGGGAATGTGAATGCTGAGAATGAGTGAAGCTGTTCAATATAACCATTCTTTTCTATTCACCCTCCATTTATCTAGGAAAGATTGTAAACATACATAGAAGCTAGGAGGCACATGAAACTCCATGTTGTATCTAAACCAGGAAGGTCTCACTGCAAGCTCACAAGGAAATAAAAGATACAAACACCAATGGCTGCGATAGGCATTTAGCCTTTTTTTGATGCTGGGTAGACATTGGGCTTTACTGATGGGCTTGACACCTATAACTTTTTTGAAGTGGCTGAATTAGCTATGAAATCATCAATGCTAACTGATCATTTTATTGTAATTATCATATTCTCACTATTAATGATACTCTCAATTTGTAGTGCACTTTCTATTTATGATGCACTTCAATATTATGATAATGAAATAATTGATTCATGATTTGCAGACATTATTGACATAGACATGCCAGACAGGATCTTTGATCTTTTCATTATTGATGTAGATCAGGTGATGAATCCAAGTTTGGTTGAAGAATTTAATGTTGAGACATAATATTGAAGCTAAAATAGCACACAAATGATTGTTATCAAGTCATGTTGATATACAAGAGTACTGCCTCCAGATCTCTGAGCTTGTGGTCAAAGATTGAATTTCTGTTCCTCTTTTCCCCTACCTTATATCTTGTGGAAATGGCATCTCCAAGGTGATTCACATATTATCAAAATCTCATAAAGGCAAGAATAAGGCAGATATTTTTCTTCCCATGAGAGTAAATATGAAAATAGAGGTAAGAAATGTTCAGTCTGTATCATAAAGATGTCAGTAATCTCCAACTGTCCTCTTAGCACAATGGAGAGATTCTGTTTCAGATTTGCAATCTCAAGGGAGGCTTTAATTTGCTTTAATTTTATGTCTGATCTCTCCTGAAAAAAAACTAGGCTGATTCCAGTTTCAAAGATTTTATTTACACACAAGCAAATTTGATAATAGTTTTGCTTTAATGTAGGGTTATCTAAGTAGAGGCAAAAATTGCATAATCCTTTGTGGCCTGTGCTACAAAGGTATTAGTGACTCATGACTTTTGTGCCAGAGTTGGAAACCCTAGGGATTAGGCACATTTGCTTTTGTGCTCTATTCAGCTCAAAGTCAGAGCTGCTCTCAATCATGAATTAAAGTAAATCTACAGCTTGTTTATTATTAATCTTGATTGCACAGTACTTGGTTGGATCTATGTTAGCACATTTTAATTTTGTATTAAGTTCTTCTGTAAGTGATATCACTCATCTGTCAAAATATTTGTAAAAACCATACTGAAATAATTGCAATAAAATAAAAAATTTCTCATAATTTCTATGAAATTTACACTATTTTTGTATTGAAATGGTGTAGCTGTGTATAATGTTTGCGCTTTAAGTCAATCTTTTGAGAGAATTAAGTTAAACAATTTAAAACGTAAGACAGAGCTTAAATACATTTCCATTTTTAATAATATAATGATTCTGTAATTATAAAAGTTATATATATTTGCTTATCAAAATGTCAGTGTCAGCCACCTAATTAAGGTATTTTTTATTTCTCTTTAACTTTTTTTTTTTTTCTTTCTTATAGCTGCCATTGAGATTTTTTTTTCTGATAATGGAATATCAGAATAGCCATGTCGTCAGAAGGTGTCGATGACAAAGCCACTGGGCAGAAATCTCCATCTGCTCGTTCAAAAGATTCACAATCTACTCCAGAGAAACGACTCCATTTTAGACACAGTGAATCAGAAACGGTAAGCTACATAAATTTTTTGCTCGGAAAAAAAAGAAAGAAAAAAGACTAATGCTAAATTCTCAAATATGCAAGTTTTATTTACATAAACATCTTCTACAATTTAAAACTTTAATTTTTGTATTTATCAGATTTCTGTTTCAGTTCATATGATAATTTCCAAGTCTCTTTCAGAATTTTTGTTAGCTGTCATTTCTTTCTTGCTACTTAAACATGTACAAATTACTTTTAATTCCAAATTACACCTTTTAAGTATAAAGCATTCAAACTAAATGCAATTTCCCCATGGGAACATGGCACATTTTATGTGTATATGGAATTATTGTATTATTCCTAGGTCTTTTTCAAAAGATAGCAACTGTATACATTTAAATTTAAGTACTTTTCAGCAGAAATGAATTTGTTATTCTTTCTAAATATTTTCTTAATGATATTATTGAGACACACTTTTATATTTATTATTTTTATTTATAGGTGCAATGGTAAACTACTTATTTTTCATTCCATTTATGTGTAGAATTATGCTTGTTTGTATTAAGGTATATCTAAGTTTGCCATACATCCAGATTTTCCAGGACCTGTCTGGAATTTAGATGTCAAAACCTGGTTCCAGGGTGCTGTGTCACTGGGTGTACTTATTTATGTCAAATAAGAATGAATACACAATTCAAACCTTTATTTACTATTCGATAACAATAGATATAAAGCATGACCAGTTTTTTTTAATAGTTCGATAGAGAATATGAGAGAAAGCATAACTGCCATCTTGAAATCCCTTTTTTCTTCTCTATTATTCTAGAGAGTTCTGATCAAGGGGCATAACTTGGTTTCCAGCTAGGTAACAAGTTAGCTCCCTTTTTATGACATCCATCCTAACACCTCTCTTTTGAAGGATGTTTGGCAAGAATCTACCTGCAGAGATGTGGTTTGTTTTCACTTACGATTTGTCTTCCTCATTGTGTCTTTTTTTTTTTTTTTTTTTTTTTTTTGAGTCTTTGGTTGTTTTGGGGTTTTGCTTGAAAACTTTGAGGGAGTTCAAATGTGTCTAATAAAAGATTGAGTGGAATGACAGTGTTGTTTGATTTGGTCTCTGGAAGACAAGACTGGTGCAATTGATTTGCATATCGAACCCAGATAGATGACTGTGCATCAATATCATAAATGACATTTCTGGTGTGATACCCGATGTAGTCCACTTTGCTTTGCCATTATGTTAATCCTTGGCAAGTACAGGTTGTTCTAGTACAAATAAATGTGGCACTGCTTCCTGACAGTGGTTGAATTGTTTTTCCATCACACTGTTTTTGTAAAAACAATTTAGAGCTGGGTGATTGGCGTCCACTAGTAGGTGTATTTTCGGGGATTCTGAGGGTGAATTACCATTTGGTGTGTTTGGATTTTTGGTTGCTCTGTAGATAATTAATCATATCTCTATGATTCCTTGTGCACTTCCCTCCTTAATAGGGTGGATTTTTGAAAATTCCCAAATGTTCCGAATTTCAGATTCCATCACTAATTTCTCAAAAAATATTACACAATGATTAATCTCCATACGCTGAAATAAGAAAGAGTGAGTGGGGTTTTGCCAGGTAGCAGCTGCTTTGATCTGGTTTTGGTTGCAACTCTTGTATAAGTCCTGTATGAAGTTGTTTCTCCTCACCATTGCACCAGTCTTGAGGAAAGATTGGATTACTCTTAGCTTGGTGTGGCCTTGTGACCTTGTCATCACTATTATTACTCTTTACCCCTGACAAAATGCCCAAAGAAAAGTGAAAATTCACTGCAAAAATGCAGAACAAACTACCATGCTTCGAAAGGTGTTGGGATGAATGGGAATTTGAATATTTGGTGTGTAAAACAGAAACATATGTCACACTGGTGCATAAAGGTATTGTTGATTTATAGTCACATGAGACAGTTACAGTTTCCCTGAGAAACAAAAGAGAACAGTGCAGTGAAAGGGCTCATCAATGAATTTGACACATTATTTTGTTAAACTAGGAAGTGAAGCTGAAGATGTCATTGCTGCAGAAGGTACTTATATATTTCACATGGTCAAACATTACAGTAGTTTATTTGGATTGTTCATTTGCTTTGTTGAAAAAAAGTTTTCCCTGATTCTGAGGTGGCAAGAAAGTTTTCTAGTGCTTGCACAAAGACAGCAGCAATTATAAAAGCTGTGCTCTTACCTCATTCTATTGATGTTGCCTTGAAAAGCCTTAAATAAAATGAGATAGCATACTGTAAAGTTACTACAGATGGTAGTAATCATAATGCATTAAAACAGTTTCCTGTAATTATTCAGTACTTTGTAAGAATGTTGATTTATAGTTGAAACTGATTGAGTTTAAAAAACACCCCTAATGAGATGGCACACTATTGCTAAATATATAAAAGAAACCCTAGATAAAAATGGGCTCAGTGTGTGGCATTCACAGGTGAAAAATGTAGTACAATGTAGTTTCGGAGGAAACATGTTTGATAATGAAGAAAGGTATTAATTGGAGTCCATAACAAAGCAGAAAGAATGGATATTGATATTGAAAATATAATCAATAGAATTTATTAGTATGTTCATATCTACACAGTTCACACTGAGCACCTAAAGGATTATTGTGGATTTGCTGAAGTACAGGAAGTTTCTTTGTCATAGTATAAGTTGCTGGTTGTCACTGTTTCTTGGCATTACAAGACTGATACAAATGTTTCCTGCTTTTACTTCTTTTTTTAATTCCTTCTTTCTATCACTAGAGCAACCCCTAACAGTAATTAGAATATTCTTTGAAAATGGCCGTATTTCACACACACATTTAAACAACTGAAAAGGAAAGCAACTCTGGAAAGAAAGAATCAAAATTTTATGTCTGTAAAAGTTGTTCAGAAATGCACAGAAGGGAATGAAGAAGAGTATAACAGGTTTTGTGCTGAAATAATTAACCTGTACAACAGATATTTGGAGTATTTGGGTAAGTGGATGATACTATTAGAAGAGTTTCAGGTCGATAACCTTGAATGAAATACAAAACTGGATTGATGTGATGGACAAAGGAGTAGAACTTGAGGATGTGAAGTGCTTTCATTAAAGTTTGTAATGAAGTTTTGTTTCAAGCAGTTTGTAAAAAAAAATTACAAGAATGATGAAGAATTCAATAAATTACCATCACATAAAAAATGAACCAGATACTTTGAAAAATGATATGTTAAATGCCACTCGGAACTGCTAAGAATTGCACAAGCTTTTTTTGTTGTAGCATCCCACAATGCAAATGGAGTGAGTCTTTTCACTGATGCAAAGTCAGTGGACAAAGGAAAGGAACAATTTGAGTGTTGATACAATGAAAAGTATTCTGACTATACAATACTTCTTCCATGAGACATCTTGCAATGAAATCAATTTTTTAAACTCCAATAAGGAACTACTAAAACATATCTAGAGAAAAATATGCACCAACACATCAAGTATACAAACACAGTGGGGGAAGAAGAGTTAGAGGACAACTAATGAATTTCAGAATTTAGTTTATCAACTTTATGCTAAGGTTGTGTTGTTTTTTTTTTTACTATACTATTTTTACTAAGATGCATGTTTTCCATTATTATATTATAAAGTGATTTTTGCATGTATATTATGGGCCATGATCAAATGTTAGTGGAGATGTTTGGAATTTTGATAGTTCGTATATGGCAACCCTAGGTAGATCAGTGAGGATGATCTGCTCAAGATTTTGTCTAATTGGTCAAGAATACTGTCTTGTATTTGTTTAGTGGATTATTATTAATTCTGCTTTTGTTTATAAATGTAAAAATTCATGATATATGGCAAATATTTTTGTTTAGTTCATGGTTTTTTTTTTTTTTTCACTTTTCTAGTGATAATCTTTTAAATTGGTATTTTTCTTGTTCAGACTATATTAAATGAACTATTCAGTAGTAATAGGCTTAAATGCAGTTTTACCATTGTTTGGTAAGTAAATTTTCTTTTCTGCAGCTAAAATTTCTGAATATTACTACACAGAAATAACTTGTGCTGTTCTACATAGAGTACTTTACTGGAAATGATTTCCTTTAATGTAATGATTTTAATATTTTGTGCCTTTTTGATGATATTCTTACTACAACTTCAAATTTTATATTATCTAGACCAGGGGTCTCAAACACACAGACTGCAGGAACCATTTTCATGACCAATATTTTCTTCAAAGTGTAATGAATTTGTCCCTCATTTATACTTTTGCAGTAGCAGTATTCAGCTTGACTTACAAAGTGCAAACAGTCAATTTTTAAGGTCAGCAAGATTTATTCTAGTTCCTCTCCAATGAAGGGAAGAAAACTTGACCTCTTCACTATCTAGATCTTATGAGAGAGTACAAATATATGGTACTTTTTTTTCTTTCTTTTTTTAAATTAATAAGAAATAAATTTGAAATTCATATTTGGGAAAGCAGAAATATAAAATTTTTATATACATCTAAAAAAAAAATCTTGATAAGAATATTAGTGAAATGATCATGATTTGCTCTGGTGGGAGGGGGCTTATTGAATGTGGAGGGATGATTAAGATGTGATACAACACAGACATGAGGAAATGTAAATTTTTTTTTTTTTTTTTCATGTGATAAATTTGGCTACTCATATTAGCCTGCAGGTAGCTGAGATGACAGATAAACTACATGCAAAACAAAAAATGAGAATTTTTTTCTTAGCAAGAGGAATAGATTTGACAACATATTCAGGTGGAGGGGTACATGAAGTACAAATAAGCACCATACGCAACAGAAAATGAAGTTTTCTTTTCATAATGAGAGGAGAAATAGATCTGATCTCATAATGAGGTGTGGGGACCTCTCCACAACTTCCTTTTCTTTGTAGCTTGTAGTAAATTTTGTCTTCTCGCTATCTCTCCTAATCCTTGTTCTGCCAACCATTTACACAAGATCATTTGGTAGATTATATGCTGCTTTCCTCTGTCCATCTTGCCTTCAGTATGTCCTGTTAGTGTCA